ATCTATACTAATATTATAAAGAGGAAAGATTTGTATTTTTGTATTTTTGTATGTTTGTAATGAATAAACTCAAAAACTACTGGACCGATTGCAATAATTTTTTCACCATTAGAAAGCTGCATTATTCAGAAGTAACATAGGCTATATAATATCACGCTAGGTCCTATAGTTGTGGAGCAGTAACCAAAAATGTTTTAAAAACGGGGGAAAAGTATCGTTTCTGAGGCCTTCCGTGGCGTGCGCTGAGCATATAGTTAAAGTTATACAAAAATGCTCTATAGATGAATTGTTCATCTTAACATTATTTTTAAAAAAGTCCGCGAGATCATATGTCTACCTTTTATAGTTTACCCATAACAATCGTTTTAATGAATGGTTCAATCCTTATAAAAGTTTGCTCTAGATAACTTTTGAATTGTTCAATCGGTAACCTTAAGACTATTAATTCATCCAAAAGATACCTATTAGGTAAGTAAAAGAAAAACAAAAAAAACCTTAAAACAACAAAGAAAAACAAAAAAAATAAAAAGATGTAAGTAAATATTTTTCAATAAATGTAAAAAAACAATTAAAAAAAAACTGAGAATAAATAAATAAAACGTAAAACTATGTAAAAAATCTTAAGTCCCCCCGTGCGAAGCCGGGACGAGCCGCTAGTATTTAATAAAAGACAAGACAGTCTGTAACTTTATGATGTCTGACTAGGAGTAATGCAAAATGCATCCATTATAAACATTGCAAATATTGAGTATTTTCCTTTTCTTTTTCAGTAACAAAAAACTCTACTAAATTTATTATTTCTCATCTATTTACAAATGATGACAAGGAACAGTTTGATTTCTGCATGTGCAATCCACCTTTCTATAGTAATTTGCAAGAATTGTGTGAATCACGGAGCCCAGCAAGGTAAAAAAAATCTCATTTTAAAATTGCTACTTTTATTTGAAAATTAATTGCAAAAGGGCAATATTTTTTTTTGTCATTGTGTGTACTTTCTACTATAAAGTTACAGACCAATCAATGTTATTATTATTATGTAAAAAAATATTGTGACTGTTTACAGATTGCCTCCAAAGAATGGGTTTACAGGATCTCCACAGGAGTTAATCACAGAAGGAGGGGAGCTAGAATTTTGTAGACAGCTCATTAGAGAGAGTAAACAATACAGGGATAGAATAGTGTGCGTTTTGAATTTTGTGTGGGTTTGTAAAAACAAACCCTAACGCTATAAAACTGAAAGATCATTTTTATGATCATTTTTATGATCTTTCAGTTTTATCTGATATAATATGAATTATTTTACATTTCAGAATATTTACTACAATGGTGGGTCACAAATACAATTTAAGTGTATTATTACAAGACTTAAAGTCAGAAGGAATTAGACACACTCATGCTGAGTTCTGTCAAGGTCGGGTAACTAGATGGGGACTAGCTTGGACATATCAACAGTATGATTTATATGAATTAGGTATGGCACATAATTTACACTCATATAGACTAATATATCAAAAAATACTATATTAACTGTTATTTTGAATTATTTCAGTACCTCCAAGAGGAAAACCAAGGAAGAAACATAAACCAACAATTTTCTTATTGCCTGAATTACCTAGTTGTGAAGGTAGTTTTGAAGTAGCCCTAAGTAAAATAAAAGGGATGCTTGACATTTTATGTATTCAACACAAAATACTTGATAAGAGAGGAGGCAATATCACATTAGATATTGTAGCATCGAATAACACTTGGTCCAATCAAAGACGAAAAAGAAGACTCCAAAATAGAACGGAAACTGATGCTAAAGTGCCAAAATTACACATAGAACAAGATAGTACTATACCTAATCCAATAAACAATCAAGTAGGTGGTGAGTCAAAACTTGAAGTTTCAGAACCATCAAAATCATTAAACATTGATGATAATATTACCAATGGAAGTGAAATAAGAGAAAGTAAACAAGATACAAGTTCAGTCGACTCTGCAAATAAAACTGAGCCTCTAGTACATGCCTTTTTGAAATTAGTGAAGAAACTTGATAATATCCTCCTAGAATTAGAGTTTCTTGATGGCTGTGCTGGAAAGGAAGGCTTACATCAAATAGCACAATATATTAAAAACAATTGGAAATAATATGTGTTTTATTACAGATATTCTTCCTAGTTCATAGGCTCACCCCCTATTACATGGGACTCATGACATAAATAGTGAAAAGTGGGTGTTACATTGCCTCTGCCTCTGCCTACCCCATCGGGGATAAAAAGTGTGAAGTTATGCTATGTTATTCTTCCTTGTTTGCCGCTGATTTCATCCTGTAATATAATTAAAACCAGATAAACACATCTGGTTAATCAATCGGTTATTAATTGCTAGATGTTGTTAGATAAGAAATATAGAAATATATTGATTAAATGTTTGGCACAATGCTAAGTCTTAGATAATTTATTAGTTTTAAATACTCAAAGCTTTTTTTAAGGGGGGAATCATCGAATGACTGATCCCGCCTGAGTGAGGCGGGAGGGAGTGTCAGATTCTTACTGACTAAAAACCACCCCGTTCCTTCTCCTGCACGTCGAGCCGGAGCCCCGGTAACCCGTTAGGTTCTCCGCGACATTATACTCTAAGCTAAGAGTACATTATAATAAATAGAAATTGCACAGAGGCTGGGCGCCTAACCCAGAAAAGTAAATGGGGGGAATGAACCCTATACTTATTATACTCTGGTATAGGGAAGCTTAACCACTTGAAAGTTTTGAGCTATCGTTACATTACAAAAAAAAAACATGAAGATAATCAGTGGCAATAATATTCAGTAAAAATCAGTCTTTTCCATAGCATACGGAGTATGGAGGTCGATGCTATCGGTGGCGCTGGTAGACATGTAGTCATTGGCTATCCTAGCGGGCTTTGGGCATGTACGCTCTTTTCGTTCATATACGTAGTAGTTATAGGGTTCACCCTTAATCACTGTTCAGATATTTATTACTTAAGCCTATGCTTTTATTTTAATTTTCATATTCCTTCATGACTAGTCATAGACAAAGAAACATCCATAGATTACAAAATATTTACTAATGTCAAAGTTGTCAAACTTCAAACTTGGCTTGTTTAGTTGTCAAAATCTGATTGTTGTAACTTGCATTTGCAGTTATTTATTAGCATGAAGCTTGCTTGATCTAGTAAAACAGTACAACTACATATTAAGCAAGGCGTAATTTAACATCTATGTATAAAACTTTTGTGGTGTAATAGAGAATAATTGTGTATTTTTGCATAAAACATGGAATCTGAACCACCACCTGCTGAAATGCTCGCAGAATCAACTTCTGTCCAAAATGATGACGAATCTAACAAGGATCCAAATACTAATGCTAATAATACTCCAGCTCCGTCAGGTTTGGCTGTTGCGAATACTGGAGATGTAGTGGCTACCTCTGCGCCATCGTCAGCAAAGGAAACTCCGAAAACTAATTCAAAAAAACCTAAAAAAAGGAAACCCAAAGCTCCTCGCGATGTTACAGCGCCTCGACAACCGCTGACTGGTACGGTGTGTTTGAGTGAAAGGTAGTTTACCACTGATAATTTAATTCAATGGTCATTTATTTATTTGGTTTGCAGGATATGTGAGATACTTGAACGAAAGAAGAGATCAATTGCGAGCTGAACAGCCAGATCTAGGGTTTGCGGAGTTAACTCGCCAGTTAGCTAGTGAATGGAGCAAATTACCAGCTGAAGAAAAGAAACAATATTTGGATGCTGCAGACCAAGACAAAGAAAGGTATGATATTTGGTGTTTATGTGCTATTTTCATCAGTTGTTTATTTACCTATATATGTAATAGGCTAGCCAGCCTATTATGTATACTGAAACCGAACAAATATTATAACAACATTATTCTTACTATGATACAGTAAAAACAATACAAAGGCAAAGCCAACAAGGACAAAAGACCTGTCCGTCTCTTAAGGTAGGAATACCATTTACAATAAATTATTTATAAAGTTAAACTTTTTTTTAGATACCTTCGAGAATGGGCTGAATATAAAAAGACAGATGCATATAAAGAATTCAGGAGACAGCAGCTAGAACAAAAGGATCCCAACTTCTCAAAAAAAGTAAAACATAATCCACCAGAGATAGCTGTTCCTGCAGGTATCATCTTGTTGTATTTTTGTTTTCCATTTGAATTGAATGTAAAATACTTTAAATGTGCAGTATTTTATGAAAAGTTTATTTTGTAGCAGGAATAACACCAGCTCCTGCAGATCAAAATGCAACTACTAACACAAACAGTGGTACTGCTCCAGCAGCTATAACTGTGCCTCGACAGCCAACACCACCTCGACCCAGACCTTGTATAACACCAGCTTCAGTGAGTGCATCCACTTATAATATTGTGTTTAAATCCTTCAAGAGCAAAAGATATAAAGATAAACAATATTACCCTTGTAGGAATTTCAAAATATTCTAGCTAATCTATTTATTTCCTGACAGGGTGAAGAATTAACTGCTGGAGATACAGATATACCCATATTTACAGATCAATTCCTTCAACATAATAAGCTAAGAGAATCTGAATTAAGGCAGTTGAGAAAAGCCAATTCAGATTATGAACAACAGGTAAACGACTTTAAGCATATCTTTGGCTCGAAAGATTGTTTATTACATTCTTTCTCTTCGTATAACAGGTAAAATAAAGAACATTGTTTAAAGTTATTCCATTTTTAACATTTCAGAATGCAATATTACAAAGACACGCTGAAGAAGTAAGTGGAGCTACTGCTAAACTTCGAGTCGAAACTGCAGCTGCCGCAGAGCGCACGGCTGCTTTATTAGCACATCGTCGCGCACTTGTTGCTGCACTAGTCCAAGCATTGCAACTAGTGGCAATACCAGGAGGACCAACAGGCGCAACAGAGCAAAACATTGAAGAATATTTAGAGAAATTGCAAAGTCTAGCAACTGAAGGTAAAAATAGTGCAGTTGTAAAACAAGTTCGTGATATTCTCAATAATATAGAACTACCTATCAATTAATAATATTGTACATTATGAAGATATGAGCATAAACATTCTTGCAAGAGGTGTTTGTGAAATAAGGTAAAATAAAAAGTTTGTCATATTCATGTTTTTTATTTAATCAAATTATAGTCTTTATTATCAATATAATAATATAAACTTCTTAGTATGATCATTGAAGATTAGTTACACTCCAACTGCTTACTCATGTGGATGTGCAAGCATATAATTAATTAAAGGTGTTTTAACTATTATTGTCTATTACTATTATAGGTAGTGAAAAGTGGGTGTTACATTTTACAGTGGCATAATGTACACCTCTGCCGATACAATGTTCTGTTATATTTATGTCTACTAGCTTCTTCCGCGCGGTTTCACCCATTCTGCTCGGCTTCTATACGGTCGTAGCATGACCTTTTATAGCTTGCATCGATAAATGGACTACCCAACACAAAAATAATTATGTAATTATTCGAACCAGAAGGTTTACACATTCAAACAAATTACAGCTAATAATATAGTAAAATGTGTAAGATTATTTTTGATAATCTATTTAGTGTGTATATAGCCAAAATGTATCCAATGTCCCATCTTACTTCAAAGTAAAGATAGAAAGTCGTTCTCAACAAATGTCAACCTTAATTGGCTGTATATTGGTGAGTAAAACCTATATATACTGAACATTCTCACATAATATAAACAATCATATTAATATTAATCATTTATAAAAAGTATAAATTTAGTAGTAGAAATTTCAAGATTTTGAATCAGTGTAAAAATTTATGAATTACTAGTGGATGCAAAAAAGCACTGAGATGACAAGCTCGCAGTCTATGATTGAAACCAGACATTAGTTAGACAAACACAACCAGAAAATGTACGACTCGATTTCAGAACACATTTTGTCTTTCGAGATTGTTTGGTAATGTGTATAAATAGAAAGGAAATAATATTATACACCTTCCCACAATTTGTACAATTTACCAAAATTATTCACTACTAAACATTTTTTGTATGTGCATCCTAACTAAACAATTGCACTTAACTGGATAATACTTTTGTGTTCATTAACACCTGTGTAAAGGCTTGCATATAGACAAATTGTACAAGTTGACTATACCAAGGTATGGCGGGGTATAGCACCCATACAAAGCCAGTGTGAGTTATTAATACTCAAAAGTCATTAGGACTTATATTGTTACAGCTTATTACACTACTAATGTGCAAGTTCAACTTCAATTCATTTTAGCGCTGACTTTGAGCACATTGAAGTGACAATCTAAAATTTTACATACAAATTCACCTAATATGAATTGACACTTACATTAATAGTTAATTATAACTTAAAATTAAACAGTCTATCAATCTTGATTGTCACTATCCTCTTCATTGTCCAAACAATCATCTTGTCCATCAACATCATATTCATGTAATTTTTTCCTCCATAATTTGATGAGAGTATCCCAAGATCTTCTGCTGTATTTGGCAAATTTGTCAGGTGTCTTCGGGTGGTCTTTTGTTCTTTCTTCACTGTAAATTAATTAAGGATGGTTAAAGATAAGCAATTCGTAAAATATTGAATTTCATGACAAGAATGACAAATGAAACATACTATCTGACATGGTTAGTATAGTTGTAATAGCCAACTGTATTTTTCCCATAATCAATTTGTTTTTGTCGTCTTCGTAAAACAAGGGGGTCCGTTTCCAATTCCAATGGTTTTCTTGGGGTACTGTAAAAGTAAAGCCGAGTGTTAAATATAAAGTATGTACATAATAGTATAAATATATATTTAATAATGATCTTAATAAAGTCTAAATCAAATATGAAAATTAAGAAAACATTAACCTTTCTTTTTTTTCACTTTCACTCTTACTATTTGGTCTTGCCTTTTTTCTGCTATTTGAATTTTCTCTACTTCCACTTGATTTATCTCTAGTGGATTTCGAATCTGAAATTAAAAGCGAACATATCAGTATGACAAGACTTTAATTTCTGAGTAAAATGCTAAGAACTCTCTCTTATAGGTATTAGTTATGTTACAACTTATAGCAACATCTAATTATATTATTAATAGGAATATAAAAAAATGAGCTTACTCTCTCTTGTTTCCTCCATTTCCAATTCCGCCGCCCAACTTCTTTTAGAGGTTACTGAATTCATATTATGAGTAACTCTGAAATACAAAAGAATAATGTACCTACTGTAATAGACATCCTCCAATACCAAGGTGTTCACTTTGATATCTTAGTTTAAGATTTAAAACAAGAATTCTGAGGATGATAATACAATAAACATGCGTTATTGATATGAGCCTTTTTATAAGGACAGTGCTAATGTTAGCAAGCAGGACAGTTAATACCAAGATCTCAGTGGTAAGTACTATAACATTGAATGAATAGTTACTTACAATTTTGTAATTCAATTGAAACGAAAGTAAATTGAAAATCGATGCACACACATAATAAAAGCTACACTATACCATCAAATATTTGATTTCAAACGATACGGAAAACTAAATGATCCTCTCAATCTCAAAACGAAGCCGCGTGAATGACATTTATTATCAAAAACGCGCGAAAACATAAATACTGATAGTGATGTGACAATGCAGTCAATGCAGTGGCGACGGTGAGACAGTCGAGTTTTGTTTTGACAGCAAGAAATACCACTATATCAAATTAATCCCGTAAGTAATTATGAACGTCGCGATTGGTGAGCTGAGCTGACTGGGTAGTCACCACTGATTTGCTAAGAGTGGAGTGAAAATGTGGCACATCTTTAATAACATATTTAAATGTCATTAAATAAGGACATTTTATTTGTTTTAAGGATCATATATGTGACAGGATCACATAACAATGTTAATTGTAGAAGCTAGCTATGTAGTTTTAATGTCGAAGTCTGCTTGGACTTGAATGCTTGATGGACCTCAGATATAAGACCACACTGAACTGCGTTAATTTAAACAGTGTAAAATCTAATCACATCATGTTGTGCATCATGCCCATATTCGCACCCTGAGAACGAAAGTGACTCAACTCAAAATTACCAATTTTTGGGAATAGGCGAAAATGTGTCCGTCGTATTTAGCATTTTCTGTTCATTTTACAATAACACTAAAACATGGTAATAAAAGTTATGAATTTCTTGTCATAGAATATATTTGTCTTGTCATGACAACTCACGGTGCAACACTGATTTCGTCCCTTTGATTCGGGCGCAGGGGGAGGGAACGGTTGAGGGACAAAGAGACCGAAATATATCTCTATCCTTTTCTTACCTTTATTGGCCAGTTTTCGAATTTAAATATGATTGAGTATACTTTTTTGAGTCATTCTGTATACTTAACTCATTTAACCAAAATTTTGAAATCGGTCACTTTCGTTCTCAGCGTGCGATATCATCATACGCACCTCTCAGATAGATGTCAAAACTATCTGTCAAAGAAGAAATGAAGGAAAGATGTAATGGTTGCTTGACACAATTGGTCACCGATAAATGTCAAAATGTCATATGTATAACATTTTGCATTTTTTGTCCTAAATCGCTTGGATTATGATAAATTGTTATAAATTTTTAACATTTATTTATATTAAATAGTTATTCTCAGTTTTTAAGCGATAATGAAGTATACCTTTGTTGTTTAACAAGTATATTTGTAATATATTATGTAAAAAAATAAACATTGTGATGGTGAGTGCAAGAAATAAGAATAAATAATATAGGTTTAAACCTAATTTGGTTTACTAACTGTGCTTGTCATATTATTTACAGGCTGGTAACGAGATAGATGAGGCTTTAGCCTCGTTAGAAATACTTATGTCTGAGTTCTTTGCACCAGCCACAAGTAATTTCAGGAAGAGAGAGATTGAGAGTATGCTTGAAAACTTTTCTAACCGGAGTGACTCCTGGAAACATTGCTTGATGTTCCTACAAAAATCACATAACCATTATGTTCTGATGTTCACTTTGACTACTTTAGAGGTAAGCAAGTTAATGGTCTGAAACTTAATAAAACTGTTCATCTACTAATTTAATGAATAATAATAATTAACAGTGTTATTAGGATATGTCAGTTTGCATTTGATGGATTTGTTACAAAGGTTGTAATCTAACTTCTAACACTCCCACATGCTGTAACAGTACACAAAATTCGAATATAATGCGGCAATTGGTATTCCAGGATTTCCAGCCCCCAGCCAATGTTTGCATGCTTTAAATATACCTATAGTTATAAATAGTTAATTAATGGATGATTCATCTTATATATTTCATAGTATGAAAATTCTTAATATAATTAAGAAATGAATATTTATTTGATTTCCTATTTATTATGTAAAACAATTATCTTGTAGAATATCATAAACCGGCAGTGGATCCGTCTATCAGACAATGAGAAAACAGAGATTCGTCTGACTCTATGGAATGAATTGTTGGCTAAACATGAAGTCATGATATATTTCATTAGAAACAAAGTAGCTGCACTGATGGTAGCAATAGCTCGCTATGACTGGCCACATTTATATGATGATTTCTTCAGTAATATCGTTGAGGTAATATATTTTAAATAAGAAATTATTACAGTGTAATATGAGATGGTTATATGAGAATAAATACCATTTATCTGATTTCACAGCTAATCAGAAGTGATGGCTCTCGTTGTCTTTTGGGCCTGGTTTTGGCCCAGGCAGCAAGTGAAGAACTTGGTGCCGCACGTGACACGGGAGTCTTACTGCCATCAGAACGTAAAAACCAACTTGAGCGCCTCATGCTTAAAGGGATGCCACAATTATTAAATGCTCTCAGTGGTAAGTTAGCAGCAAACGTTTTAAGACTTATTATAATTCTACAAAACAATTCAATCATGGTCATACTTTTTTTTCAGATATCTTAGAACGAAATGCTCAGAAGGAAGGGCAGTCTAATCCTCCCCCCTCACCAACTAGTGGTGCTCCACAAACATCCGCTCTGCCAGATCTATTGACAAATACACATGATGTTACGGCCAATGATAAGTAAGTCTTTAATCTTGTATGTGTAATGTGTCTAACCAACTTTATGATGAACTGCTTTAAAATAGTCTGCACAGATCTTATATTCACTGTCACTTTTTTCAGGGTGCTCAATATGGAAATAGTGGTGAAATGTCTCACTACTCTCCAACATTTGTTCTCATGGTTACCATTGTCCTCACATGTGCCACCATCACTAGTCACCACTGTGTTCTACTGGGGCAGTATAGCAACACAATCACAGGTAAGTTATGTGCCTGAAACATTATATTATATTAACTTTGTCGTTACTGTGCGAGGGCTTAAAAATAGAATATTATTAAGTAATAGAAAGAACTGAATAGTAACCTAAAACTCGCGGAGGACTTAACGGAGTTTCCAGGGCTCTGGCTCGAAGGGCAGAAGTAGGAACAAAGTGGTCTTTAGTCAGTAAGAGTCTAACACTCCCTCTCGCCTCACCCAGGCGGGAGGAAGTGTTAGACTCTTAGAACCCCTTGCTTTATTTATCCCATATAAGGTATACAGAAACTTGTATAATATGGTTCCGCGCAGAGCGTGGAGGCGGCGGTGTGCGGGCTGGGCGGGGTGTGCGAGCTGCTGTACCGGCGGTACGCGCCGCCGTCGTCGGCCGCCACGGCGCTGCGCCTGCAGCACTGCGCGCTCAGGCTGCTCCGGCATCTCACGCACACACCCAACGCCATCCTGCACGCACACCACGAGTATGTAGCCTACATAAACTCAAATAGTTTCAAGTAAACCATAAAGACATGTTTTAATGTTTGTCGGCCCCTAATCAAATTCCTTGATATGCAGGTAATAAAGACAATAGACAATGTGTTTGGTAAACACTGTAGAGTGTTTGGGTCGCCTGTCAAATCCTTCTCGACCTTTATTACTTACTCTTCAGAAATGAATGAGATATTTTGAACATGCCATGTTGAATATAATGTTGTGTCAATGGAAAAGTAGGTTTTCCTGGTGTTTACGTTTCACTAGTTTATAATTTATTTTACGTTGTGAATAACTATTAGTGATCATTGTACATTGTATCCATTTCAGTTATCTTAACAAGTTAGCAGAATTCCTTAAACTGTTTGTATCATTGCATTTCAAGAGATTGGAGGCTGAACCAGAGTTTGATGCTATTGAATTTTTGTCATATCTATTCCAATACACATTCCAGGTATGTTTTAAATCAAATGATAATTCTAATTTATTCTATGTACAAGTGATCTTACGCAGGATTTATTTTCAGGTGCCAACTTGTGCTATATTTATAAACTGTTTAGATATTTGGATACAATTTATCGAGATCCTGAAGCCAGAAGATACGCCAAAGTATGTACTATTCTGTCAAGAAAGTATCGGGAAAAGATCAATAATACACAAAATGTCTGTTATTCATCCAAATTTATTTTATCACCTTCAAAGTATGCTACTTTAGAAACGGTATACTTGCGCCAACGAATAATCCATTCATCAAAACATTTCCTGCGAATTCTCCTTAATGTCTTCTATCGATTGAAAATGGGTGCCACGAAGTGGTAATTGAAGTTTAGGAAAAAGAAAAAAGTCAGCAGGAGCCATATCTGATGAATATGGTGGTTGCTGGATGGTATTTGTTGAGTGTTTGGTCAACAATTCGTTCACAATGATAGCCTTGTGCGAAGGAGCAAAATCCAAGAATTTTCTTTCCACAAATCTGGCCTTTTTGTCGAATTTGCTCTCTTAAACGCCGCATAACGCTGAAATCATATTCTTTATTTACTGTTAGACCTTCCGGTAAAAATTCAGAGTGCACAACACCGCGATAGTCAAAGAAAACAGTCAACATGACTTTGACTTTTGATCGACTTTGGCGTGGTTTTTTCGATTTCGGTTCAGTTGGAAGGCGCCACTCCGAAGCTTGTTTCAGTCATCTGATTTTCAGTCACTATTTCCTTCACTTTTGTGATGTTAACTTCAGTTGTAGACGTTGACGGCCTACCAGAGCGAGGCAAATCTTCCATCACATCTCGACAGCTTTTGAACGCTTTGAACCACTCATAAGCACGAGTTTTTGATTGAGAGTCGATTCACCGTAAGCCTTCTGTAACATTTTCAGTGACTTCGAACACGAAATTCCATTGGCGATGCTAAAGTTAAGACAAACTCTTTGTTCGATATTTTTGTCCATGATGAAATTCGCAATACACGCTATATATGACATTACTAAAACCAGCACTGTATTTAATATACATAACAGATGCAACTCTAACTCCGCGCCAAAATGGAAATCAGTTGTGCCAATGCCAATCTAATAACTACAAACAAACAAAAATTTGAATTTGGAACCATAAACAAATCATCCATTCCCGATACTTTTTTGAATGAATATATAACTTTATTTTTCTACTGTATATTGTATTTTTGTATGTATAACTAAAAATTACATTGTACTATTTCAGATACTGGGAAGCATTACAAGCGGTTGTTAATGGAGTGCTGAACAAAATACAATTCCAGCACAATAAAGCGCAGTTGCAACACTTAGATAACGATGTTCGAGACGATGATGTAAATACTTATTGTAATTGGCTAATATATACACTTTTCAAATAGATTTTTATACATATATTTTGTTACAGGGTCACACTGAGTGGCACACATTCCTGAAACATTGCATAGAATGCATAGCGCGCGTCGCTGAATTGGCACCACTTAACGTTTTCACCATTGTGGTAAGATTAGTTACTTTTTCTGTGATTTCGTCTCCTGAATTATATTAAGCTCGTTCGTCGTTCGTCGCTTATAATAAGACGTCGTGTACATTGTACATGGACTGTTAAAGTGAATTTGATAGAAAATAAATGTAGTTCTAGTGTAGAAAAACTTCATGGATGAGAGTTATGGTAAAAAAAATATATGTTGCAACGCAAAGTTAATTCTTACCTACTTGTTATAGTTGGAGCGTTGGCAGTGCCTGGCGGGAGTGCACGCTCGCGCGGCCTCTCGCGGCGGCGAGGGCGAGCGACTGTTAGCCGCCTTGTTAGACCTCGCCACCCTCACTCGTGTACTGGGTCGGCTCGCACCCGCATTGCTTGCAGGTACGTGATTATCACATAAAGTCAGCTCGATAGATAGAGCCCACTGGTGTCAAAAATACTTAACGGAAACCTGGAGAAGGAGTATAGGCTGTTGGCGATGATGATGTATGACCTGTTCAGAAGTGTAATAAGTTTGGCGCCGCACAGAGCCGGAGAGCAGCCGGCGCGCGGCGGGCTGGGCGCTGGGCGCGGGGCTGGTGGAGCGCGCGGCGGGCGCGCTGGCGGGCGCGGCGCTTCTCGGGCGCGCTGGCGGGCGCGGCGCTCACCCGGCCGCACCGCGCCGCGCCCGCGCCGCACCTCGCGCACGCGCACGTGCAGGTGTACGTACACTCACTTACGGACATAATACATACGAATCGCTTTTATGCTTAGCATCTATTGTCATGCGAACTAAACGTGTCTGTAAAATTTCAGCTCAATCGGTTGAAAATATTTGCTCCAAAATTAAGTTGCAAGATTCCGTTCCACATACATACATTCATAAATACAATGCAAGTTAAATGAAAGCTTGTAAAAAAATTACATATTCACATTAGCATGACCAGCAACAACAATATTATGGATCAGTTTACTTGTCCTTGTAAGCAGTATCGTCTTTACCACAATGGCACTCGGGGCCCTTGCCCAGGGCTCCATTCTCAGGGGCCCCGGAAGGCCGACAATTTCTACGACGACCACACACCCACTACACGCGCGGTAGCCGGTTGCCGCGCAACGTGTAGTGGGTTCGATTTCCGCATATAAATATATAATTGTATTTGTACTGCTTCGTTGGCCGAGTGGTCGCAAGTGCGACTGTCGGGCAATGGGTCTCGGGTTCGATTCCCGGGTCAGGCAAAGTATTACTGGATTAAAAAAATATCTCAGTAGTAGCACGGAGTCTGGAATTGTGCCCGATATATGGCAATAGGCTCACCCCCTATTACATGGGACTTATAACATAATTAGTGAATAGTCGGTGTTGCATTGTACAGTGGCATAATGTGCACCTCTGCCTACCTCTTCGGGGATAAAAGGCGATGTTGTTATTAGGTATTTGTATGTCCCCAGGCACGCAGAAATGTTCGCATGTATGGGCGCGTGGTGCTGCTACGCCAACGAGTGCGGAGTACCAGTGCAGACCATGGAGAGTTTGTTCTCTTCTGCTGTACCCTTCCTACTGCCACATGAAATACCGGTCAGTTCAGTCATTTATTTCATTCAGTCCGAAAAGACAGTTTTTGAATGGCATTTAAAATATTTATTGTTTTTACAATATAATGCTCTTGTGGCGACACCTGTCACAAGTCAACGGATGACGTCATAAAAATCCTACATCGCACATGCGAAATTTACATTCGATTTAACACGGATAGAAAATTCCAACGAACCACTGTTGGCCAGAAAGTCCGCCAGGCTCGATCACCTCGCCTCGGTCGGAGGATCCTCCTTTTCCGATCTTAGGGAACTATACTTTCTGTTCCCTAAACTCTACAAGACAATTAAAATTGAAGGACATAAAGATGTTACCGTTTTCATTCTGATATATTTGTTTATAAGAATGATTGATCAGATAGATCTCTGTAATATATTGTATATTAATAGTAATCTATGCATTTGTATTTAATATACTGTTTTTGTGTAGGAACCTCCACTGTTAAGTCATGCGGCAGCACATTTATTGCTGAGCCTGGCGAAGAACGTGAAGTTCAACTCGGACCCAATAGCTCTCTCGGGTGACTTGTACGAAAATGCTCAACGCTCTCTACTGTACTTGGAGACTAAGGTAATGTTTATTTTAACTTTAGTCGCTATTTATAATAATTCAGACCATAAAACTGGACAACCAAAGAAAATGTTGTTACTATACAAATTGACTGACCAAAAGTGTTAAAACAAAAGCTTTAAATAATTTTTGTGACTTAGTTATTGAAGATCCTCGACTCCTTTCAAGCCAGACCAGGGCTCATAATCATGGGATCAATAATAGCCCCTTGTTTAATATTAGTACTTTTATGTGACGGCAGACAGCAGTAGTGGTACGTGAAGCGCTAGTATCGCTGTCGCTGCGTGGGGGCGGGCCCGCCGGGGGCGTGGCCGGGGGCGCGGCGCGAGCGCTGATTGGTGCGTGGGGCGCTGCGCTGACCACACAGGGCCCGGCACAAGCCCTGCCTCCTCTCGCTGCGTTACTCCATGCATTCTCCGATGCGCCTACACAGGCTAAGAAGGTACGTACAATATTACCACTGCTTCGGTTCGTTCTTTGTCATTACAATGATAATACATAACGGTAGGTGTAGATACACCTGAGAGAAACACAACAGACATCTTGATTGTTTAAATAATTATAATTTATTCGAATATGCCCTGACAGCTTCTGAGGACATACCGGGGCTTATGACATAAGCGGCGCGCGCGGTAAACGACATCTCACAGGCAACTCTAGCTGGAAACAAGCAACTGTTATTTTATGTTTTTATATTGTTTTCTTTTTTATTTTTGTTTGTAATGTTTATTTTGTGTGTTAATTTTCGGTGGTCCATGTCTGGTGGCGAATAAATTATATTTCTTTCAACTTATTATACAAAGATGTCTTCTTTATTAACAGATAATAGCAGAAGGCATCCAGAGCTCGGCGGAGACAGCGCTACGCATGCTGTGCGAGCCGACATTCGCGACGGCGGAGGCCGAGATCACGGACTTCTTCCTCGCCCTGTTCACCGCACTACTGCCTCAACTCGGCAACTTCGCGTACACTGCCATCGACGTGTTTGTAGAGGTCGCTCAGAGGTAGGTGCCCAATGCCCATTCAATATAAAATGCTGTGTCCTTTGAAGAGAGCCAACTTACTAAATCGATTTGAGATAAAATATTTATCCATAATATGTCCAACAGCTAGGCTATTCTGTAACTGTCAATTCGAACTTTCAAAGTGAGCTCGAACGCATTCTCACCCGTCATTGGTCGAGATTAGTTTCACAATAAATGACATGGTGGATCGCGATCGAGTTCACTTAGATCTTTCGAATTGAAAGTTACAGAATAGCCAATCTGGTCTAATCGGTCGAGGGAGGGAGGGCAACACACTTGTAACCCCTCTGGTGTTGGTTGTCCATGGTTGGCGCACCAATTACTTACCATAAGGTTCATGAGCTCTTGTTGCTTCTAATAGTAGGTAGTACAAAACTATACTCTATTTCTGATTTTTACAGGGGTGGTGGTGAAAGCGGATTGGAGCGTTTGGTGGAATGTGTTCGCTTGGGAATCGAAGCTGGAGGCGGCGGCATGCTAGTCCGCTCCGTACTGACGCTACTGCAGCGACACGTCCTACCGCGGGCCACCGTCGACTCGCCCGACCTCGCGCGGGCTGCCTACCGACTGCTGGCCAGGTATACTAGGCTCTAAGGTTATTGTAATAAGGGTTATAATTCTATGAACTATTGCAGCACAGCACTTTAATATACGTAATCCAAGAATTTATTGAAATCAATGAGCAACTTGTGCGATCCACATTTTGTGCTCGTGACTTACATCAATGATAGTCTACTACTGATCAAATTTAGTAAAGTGTTATTTGAGTGTAAGTTTTTAAAAATATCATCGTTTTAATAATAGGTATAAACCACAAGACTATCGGCTAGTTCGGCTGATTGGAAGCGACTGGCATCTACAGCGACCTTTATAGGTCGTTCTTAATAAAAATAAGTGCCTTTGTTAGTATTCATATATATCTTATCCGACATGTTTACCCCTTAACATTGTCCCAGTGTCCTGATCCACCGCTGGCGCTACTTCTTCCCGTCGAAGTGCGAGGAGGCGGAGAGCGCGGCGCGCGCCGACGAGCTGCGCGGCGCGCTGGCCGCGCTCGGCCGCGCGCTGCTGCAGCCCGACATCGACCTGCTCAAACTCAACATCGACACGCTCGACGCGCTCAACTCCAAGTGCAAGCTCTATCATAAGGTAAACTCACTCGTCTCATGCAAGATGTCATTCCAAAAACTATTGCAGGTGCTACCAATATTAAAGTCGGTTCGAGTACCTAGCTTCACTGACAGACAGAATAACGTTCTTTAGGTTGGTATTGTTCGTCGAATCAGTCAGCCTCACCTGTTAATTGAGCTGACTGTAAGCTGACACATGCGTACTGCCTTCAGAACGGGTCCGCTCAAACTGTTGTGGTTCTTTCCTCAAAAGCCCACTACAGAAAGAACTTGCACGGTTCTCGCACATAATCTGTTATACATATTATCTGGACTTTAAAAGAGACAGACCTCTGAGTTTGTTTCGGCATTTCTTCTCAGAGTAGTCAGTTAGGAAATGTCGACCTCATCGTTCGCTTGATAAAATTGACGTGTAAAAGTGCTGCCTTGTAGCCTATTTGCAGAAATAAATTCACTTGTTTCACTAACGGATAATTCTATTTTGATGTTTCAAAAATCTTTAATTTTGATATTAATCAAATTTTAGATTTAATCAGATAAACATAATTCCAATGTAACGATCAACATAAAGATCTTTGTTTATTTGTTGATTCGGGCACTATACCAATAACGGTAGTGTATTGTATACCAATAATGTTTGTTACTGCCAGATGATGTTCCGCACGGAGTTCCTGGGCGAGTTCCTGTCGGTGCTGCTGGCGGGGCTGGCGGAGGGCGGCTGGCGCGCGCTGGCGCGGGACGAGGTGACGGCGGCCGTGCACGCCATGGCGCTGGTGGACTTCCCAGCCTTCCGCGCCGCCTTCCTGCCGCACTTCCTCGCCTCGCTGCCCGGCCTCGCGCCCGACCATCAACGACATCTCGCGCAGTTCCCGCCCGATACGGTAAACTGATCGAATACTTCATCATCGATATATCTTCCTACTTCGCTCGATTTCTCCTCTAGTACGTTACTAAGATCGGTCTCTTACAACTTTTCGCTTACAATATCTCGTTCCGTCTGTCTGTATCTGATTAATCTAACTAAAATAATAATAGTTACTCAATTAAACGTCTTCTTATTGATAATGGAAAATGAATCGATACAGTGACTGTGACTACTATCAAAATAAACAATTTCTTGAAACTATGTACAAGAATGTCACAGGCTATTTATTGTTTGCGTTTCAGGACTTGCCAACGTTCACGCAGAACATCCAGCGTCTGATGAATGACGTGAACTGTTACCGCGCGTACAGTTCGCTCGCGCCGACCAGCATGTCTTCCTAGCATTGCCTGTTGTTTCACGCCTCCCTGTGATATAGGTGTTAGGGCCACTTGTGATAACTTCTGTACTTCCACATACGTAAACAAAGAGTGTTTAGTATGTTTGTGCCGTAAATTGTGTTTATAAAGGGATTTTAATGAGAAACATTACAACATTTGAGTGATTACAATGCCTTTTGAACTTATACGAGGTAGTGGATCGACATATTGAGGAAATTATTTTACTTTTTTGTGAAAATTCAACACGGTAAGGAATATTATGGACGTAACGAAAGTATAAAATTTACAATTACATTGTATGTTTAATGTTTATAAAACATAAGATTACTTAGAATATTTTAAGAGGGAATTGTGATCTTGTGTAACGTTATTTCACGTGATGTCTGACAATCTTAGGACAAGATATTCTAAGATGCCTAAATGGTCCTTTTCATATGTTCGAGTGAATGGGTCCGTCACAAACTACACACAGATATTGAAACAAAAATTTTCTTATGTAAGAATGTGCTTATGGGAAGGATCGCTTTAGTAGTAATAATAACATTTTTTGTACTGATGTTAATACGTAGTTATATTTGTACGACTTAATCGATTTTCCAAGTATAATAGACATTTGTTAGCTGATAAGAAGTAATTGGAAAAAAATATGTTTACAATCAACTTTTCGAACAGAAATGTCAGTTACATTTCGCTTCGTAAAATTAGAAGAAACTAGGTTTTTGCATGACATAAAATCCATCCTCCTTTACGCCATACGCTGCGGAAAGGAACTTGGGCCAAAGGTTAAGTAGTATTTTATTTGACCATAGTCCCAGACTACCTTTTTTGGCAGCAGTTTGGTTCTATTTCTGTAGCAAATTCTATTATTACTATGCAGTCCAAGGCATGCTTCTTAGACTGCAGTATAAGATATGGATAGTAAAATAATTGGTAACTGACTTAATTGATTTATGAGGCAAATCAATCATTCTGCTCATATTTTACGTACATTCAGGATTATACATTGTATTGAAGATTTATTGGATGTATTTTGTCTTTAATAAAATAGTCGAAAAAATTACCTATATTATATAAATTATGTTCGATTAGTACCTAAACTCCAGGTGACTTCATTCTCTATTTTAGCGTACATATTTTCTGTTGATAGTTAAGGCACATCCTATTACATATAGTTATTGCCGTAATTTATAGTTTACACTATTATACTTCTTAATACATAATTTATATATCTAAACAAAATACAGAAGCTGTCACGAAAACTTATATTTCCGTCTCACAGAAACCTAATTTTATTTTCGGATTGACTGTAAATTTCGGCGAGTACTGTATGTTATAGACAATAACTTATCTATATTTTACCTATAGTATCTATTTTATATTCCGTTCTTATCTTAGCTGTAGTTTATGATTTAACTTTACTAAGACAAAACCAAGTTCTTAACTGAATTTGTACTAGAAGACTGTACATTATTCATTCGAGTTTTATTCTATGTGAATATCATCATTTTATAACCCCCGATGAAAGTTGAAAGGTGTTATAAGTTTTATTTAAATTGCGATGATGCGGTGAACTTGGGGAACCATTATTGTAAATTGGTTCTAGACAAATCATTTATATGCATTTATAAATATAGTTAAGAGGTCAGCACAATGATAGAAGTAGTGTTTACTAGTCATTGATAATTATATTTAACTGGTGTTTGTATTTCTAATTGGACAATATACATATTTTATTTTATCTCAAACTAGTATTTTCTCACTATTATGTTGCAATTCGTGGCTGGGGTAATAGGTGATCAATGCTTCTTTTATGCAGTATAGAATTACTGTTGTATATAAATCAGTGGCATTCAGTGCCGTAATGTGCACTTCTGCCTACCTCTTCGGGGATAAAAAGGCGTGATGTTGTGTTATGTTATAAATCAGTTTTCATTTTATTTGAAAGTTAATGCTGAACTTTTACGCATATTTATGACATGCATTTGAGTTGCTTGAGGGTGCAATAGTTCGTGTGATAATGCTCACAAAATAGTGTGACAGAGAAGTAAGGGCAGGACCTCACCAAAGAGGAGACAAATTGAAATAATCAATAGACTCCAATATTTATACATTTCGTTTTTAACTTTAGCAAATTGCCGAGTGGGGTGTTTGATATTTAAATTACGCAATTGATGTAAGGATATAAGTAAGCCGGTTAAACTAAAACCCTGTTCCGATCTTTAGACGACAGGACTTTGGTGGAGTCCAAGCCTAAAATAAAACTTTTTTATTTGTATGCTTTTTAAAAGAGAAATAAAGAAAATCTAGTTGTTTTAATAAATTGTGGTATTATTTTTCACCAGTTTGATTTCATACCTTACAGTTATTTAACATCAATAGTCCGCAATAGTTCACCTCCTCTGGCTTCTAATCTCTATTGATTTATTTATTTCAATTAATATAGTTTAACATTACAGTCATAAAACCAAGGCGTAATACATTTCAAATAATTAACAAAAAATAACAGAAAATTGTAAACTTACAATAAGAATAAGAAAACCTTACAAGCTATCGTATCTTATACTATTACTAGTGACCCGCCCCGGCTTCGCACGGGTGCAATATGCATGTATTATACATACAAACCTTCCTTAAGAATCACTCTATCTATTAAAAAAAACCGCATCAAAATCCGTTGCGTAGTTTTAAAGATCTAAGCATACATACGGACATACAGCGAAAGCGACTTTGTTTTATACTATGTATTGATATAAAGCGGAAGAGTTTGTTTTTTTTTGTTTGTTTGAACGCTCTAATCTCCGTAACTACAAGTCTGATTTGAATAATTCTTTGTGTTGGATAGCGCATTTATCGAGGATGGCTATAGGCTATAAAACATCACGCTATGACCAATAGGAACTAAGCAGAGCGTGTAAAACCGCGCGGAAGTAGCTAGTAAATATATATAGTAAAATAAATAAGACATTTATAACACAATATAAAATAAAATACAGTTTTGCATTCATACTCTCACACAACTTTATGCATTCTTTGCACAGTCTTCCAGCTTGACGCAAATATATCACACTCTGGTGATGATGCCAGAAGATCGTTTATTAGTGTGAGGGCACGAACAAGTAGCGAATGACCATGTGACATGTGTGAGTGAGGTTACCGGAGCCAATTACCCGCCCCTCCCCAGTCCCCAATCCCCGAATCCTCCACAAATTCTCAAATTCCCAATTCCCAAAAGGCCGCTAACGCCTTGGTGTTCCAGGTGTCCATGGGCGGCGCCGATTGCTTACCATCAGTTGATCCGCCTGCTCGTTTATCGTCCTAGATTATTCCTCGAACACTTTCTAGAAATACTCGAAAACTATTGAGTGTCCTCGAATACTTTCGAGAAATACCCGAAAACTATCGAGCGTCCATGATCACTTTCGAGAGGTACTCGAAAACTATCGAGCGTTCTCGATCATATTCGAGATTTACTCGAAAGCTATTTAGCGTCCTCGATCTTTTTGGGAGGTAGCAGGAAACGCTTTGGGTGTAGTATCGCGTCGCGTTGCCGGGATCTCCGGCCACCGCGGCACCGTTAGCGCGAGTCTGCGGACGGCAAGTAAGGATAGCTCACCACCTGACAAGTACCAGATCCGAGCGTACGGCGCGTCGCGTAAAATGCGGGCCTCAAAGTGCCATCAGACTACCATAGACGGGGCTCACCAGGATTGTTGCCTTACTGGAGGGTAGGTTTGTTATATGACTACTAAGGCCCTGGCTTTGAGCAAGTGTTGGAAACAATGGGGTGGTTTTAGTCAGAAGGAGTTCAAGCTCTCAAGAGTAATTTGATGACATTTTACCCACCCAACAAAAAGCGAGACGGTATTTGCACGCGGGCGCTCAAATAGCTAGAGGCGGGTCTGGGTACATCAGGGACGTGCAGTCTTACCACCAGCGCTACTATTTGCGGGCAGTTGGAATTAGCTCGCAGAACTTGACAGGCAAATATAAGGAGGCTATAATTACGACTTACTTCAAGAGATTGGAAATTCAGCATTAGTAAGAATATAAATAAGGGTACCTAGTAGCCAAACCGTTTTTTTTCATGTATCTAAGAAATGCCTTTTGTACTCTCTCCAGAAGCAAGGCTAGGTACTTTCATAAAGGTTCCAGATGATTGTTCTATGCTAGCAGGGTTGGGGTACAGTTGATAAGGTTCATACTTTTAAGATGGAGCTAGGACTAAATAATAAAAAAAAAGTAAAATGAATACAAAATAACAATTCATGCTACCACGATCACTAGTCAGGAGGCCAGGTTGCGGAGAACCTAACGGGTAACCAGGGCTCCGGCTTGACGTGCAGGAGAAGGAACGGGGTGGTTTTTAGTCAGTAAGAGTCTGACACTCCCTCCCGCCTTACCCAGACAGGAACAGTCATTTAATGACTTTCCCCCCTTAAAAAAAAAAGTCAGGAGGCCAGAGGCCAGCCCTGTTGAGTGAGTTTTACATAGAAAAATGCACCTCTATCTAGTATCTACCTACCCCTTCGATATTATTCGAATATTAATAAAAGAACACAAGTTTCTTATATAAAAAATAATTTATTGTATGAATTAAGATCTTACATAACAATGCAAAACAAATTAATTGTTTCCATGAGAAAAGTTAGCCAAACATTTTTGATAGACTAGCATTACTATTTCTTTATGACTTGCATATAACTTCATGTCTGGGTTAATATCCACCCACTGTACTCCTACAGCATCATCACCTGCATGTAACTTTAGCGCACCAACAGTAGATCCACTATTGTCGTGGAAATTGTAAGCTATACTTTCCATCCATGCATTGTCAGTATTTCGGTGATCATCAATATATCCCTGGTATATTTCATCACCTTCACTGAAGAATTTTTTGAACTTTTCCATCAAAGGGACTTTTTGATCTGAAATATTTCTGTAAATTAGTATTTTATTTTTCAATTCATTTATATGTTTTTATGCACTTACTTACCATCAGTCATTACCAATGAGTTCATAGCTTCTTCTTGGAATTCTCTTGCAGCAGTAGCACTCAGTTTCTCACCAGGGTCTACCATACCACCTGGAAGAGCCCACTCTCCAGTGTCACGTCTTTTTATCACAACACATTGTAGAATAGGTCTGAAATAAAACAATAAACGATTTTTCAATCTAAAAACAACATTGAATAAATTAATTTTAAAATTGATTTTACTTGTTATTTAGTTTATCTTTTTCAATTTCACCATTTTCAAATCTCTTCCATCGGGTGACTACAGGATCAGCTGCATGGTTAGGCCCCCATCTTCCAAGAACTCCTCGGCCTGTAATACCTGTCCTTCCAATAGGATTCAGAGGATATCCACCCTTTATACTGTATTGTCCCATATAGCTGGCTCTATTCACTTTACCGTCCATTGCGTTCCATTGTGGATTAAAACCTGGCTCTCCTGCAAATGCAGAGTTGAAGTAAACATTGTGTTTTAAATTGCAGTATGGATCCAATGGATCATTCATGTGCAGTAATTGATTTACCAATATTTGGATCTGCCCATGGCTGTCCACGTATAGATGATGCAGTGTGATTATTTGGTAAATATTCTTTGTATTCTGAAGACCAGCTGACCTTATCATCAGGAACAGGAAATCTTTCAACATTAGAACGAGGGTAAATGCCTCCACGACATTTAAAATGAACGGTAATCATATTAACGATAGAACGAATCATTAAAACACATAGAGTTGTAATAATAAATGACCTTATTTGAATGCCGGCAAATAAACCTACTCTCATAATTTCATTCATACCATTTCAATTTCACAACAAATCACCATTTTTTCTTTGAAAGATGTGAAGTGACAATTGATATTGTAGACACTGTCAGAATGACAGTTTATTTCATCGTTCAACAGCTCAACGAATTTATTTAAAGAAAGCTAATAATACGTACTTTATGTGATTGGAAGATAGCAAAATAAATCGTTTATTTATCGTTCACAACAAAATACTCTTTGATAGCTTTTTTTTTTGAGGGAGGAAAAGTGGAGGAAAATCATCCAATGACTTCTCCCGCCCGGGTGAGGCGGGAGGGAGTGTCAGACTCTTACTGACTAAAAACCACCCCGTTCCTACTCCTGCACTTCGAGCCGGAGCCCCGGCAACCCGTTAAGTCTTCCGTGGCTCCGTATCGGCATCAGCCCTGTTAGGCCCCATCTGTGGTGGTCTGATGGCTCCTTGAGGCGCGCTCGGAACGCGACGCGCCGTACGCTCGGGCCTGGTTCTGGTCAGGCGGCGAGTCACCCGTGCTCGCCGTCCGCAGGCCCGTGCTTACGGTGTCCGGAGATCGTCTCGCGATCCCCGACGCCCGGAGTGTCTCTCGCGACGGCCGGGTCGTGAGGAGGTTCGTTCCCTCACGAACTCCGCCTCCTCCTTAGCTAGCATGACTGCTTCGCAGAAGGAGGAGACGGCATCCCAGTCCCCCTCGCTCCGTACCATGGTCTGAACCAGAGCCGGATGCGAGAGGTCGCCGTCGCCGATCACATTCCTGAGGACACGGCGGTGCTCAGTCCACGCAGGACACACCGCCACCGTATGCTCCACCGTGTCCTCCGGGCGATCCTCGCAGTGATACTCTTTGATAGCTAAATTTGGTTTTCCAAACTCTAATTTTGGTTTTTAGGGGTCAAAATCATCCAATGACTTCTCCCGCCTTGGGTTAAAAATCTCCCTGTTCCTACTCCTGCTCTTCGAGCTGGAACCCCAGCAACCCGTTAACCTTCCGCGGCTCCGAAACTCTAATAACACAACTCTATGAACTGGTTTGTCCTGAGGGCTTAGTACGAGTTTGTTTTACGGTTTAAGTAATCGAAACGACTACGCGATCGCCGCTCGGATTGATCAACAAATTAGAGCATTTTGACCGCCAAACGGTCTCGTTTCGATTACTGAGTTGGCTGGCTACGATTACGACTAATCGCACATCAAGGCTATCGGACTTTCCGGCAAAGAGCTTCCCGGATTATAATTTGAAATATTAAAATGATACACATATTGTTTATCTTAGTTAAAACTACATAATATATTAAAACAAATTACAGATTAAAATTATTATTATAATTTTCTTCGTCGTGTTGTTTTCTTGACGGCAGGTTTTTTGAACACTTCCTCATCGTCTTTCTTCTGGAAGTCGTCGTCTGAAAAAATTCATCATATTATAAGGCGTCTATATTCGATTGAACTATTTGATATTAATTTGTAAACATAAAATCTTACCAGAATCATCGGAATCATTTGCGACTGCTTTATTCGCTCTAGTCGCCGCTTTTCTGCTGGACTTTCT